GGAATCTGAAGAAAACAGTAAAGGGAATATAAAGGGCATGAAAGGCTGAAAATCTTCAGCCATAGATCTAATGATTAAAATGCATTCAGAATAAAGTGAAGTCAACTGGATCTATCTTGGATTACTTGTTTGTGAAATAATGTTATTTCACTTTTAAAGTGTCTCTACAGTTGAGCATTTCTTCATGACATTTCTCATATTTTTTTTTCTGTAGTTATGGAAGCAGAGGGCCAAAAGAAGCTGACGAATTACTTATTAAAAACAACTTTACTTACACTGGATCCTACAAGTGGACACCGAAAATGTAATCAGGCTTATAACCAAGCACATTCCAATTTTTCCAAGTTTGTAAATACAAAATAATTGCACACAAGGTTATTATTCTATTATACTTTCTCCAAGGAGACTGTTGGCAATAAAAATTTTCGATTTTTCAACTCATTATTTTATTTACAACCTTAAATAGTTTTGAATAAATAACACATCACTCACATATAATACTTTCGTTTCCATCTGGAAGAGAAAAAACAATGTGAGATTGATGAAAAAAAATCAGATTAAGGTTAATACTGTTACTGTAAAAATGCAATTGCCACACTGTTGAGATCGAGTTAGGTGTGTTACTTTCCTTCACCATATTATTATGAATGATGGCATCTCTAGAATCAAAAACATCAAAAGATGAATAGTCCTATTAGTAAAAATTTAACAATGTTTTGATGACGAGCAGATGATATTAATGGTTAGTTTGAACAAGCCATCAATAGTGAAGAAAGCAGATATGTCCATATTACCATGGTCTTATGTCTGACATCAGGACATGGTCAATGATCCTTTGGACTACGTCTGTGCTCTTGGCAGTACCACCCAAATCTGAAAATAGTAGATTAATCATTTATTTTTTATTAATTATTTATTCCATATATCCGTGTTTTGTGTTTTAATATTCACTGGCATTGATCTCACAATCCCAGTGAGGATAATAATGGATCAAAACCCGAAAATCAGTTCAGCATATTCCTGTCCGTGAGAACCTTAGATAGATAGATAGATAGATAGATAGATAGATAGATATATATATATATA